CAGCGTCGACAAATTGCCTACCTGTTGCCACGTAAGCATACTTGCATAAATTGCTTGCGTGGCAGGGTCATATTACTCATCGCATTAAAGGCGGATTTGAACCCGACCTGAACGTGTGGAACATTTGCCTTTGCGAGAGGATTTTTGATGAGGAACATTTTCAATCTTTTACATAATACATAAATACCAGTGAACTCCATAAATATTTGAAGCGAGAACTCGAGTCCAAAAGGTGAAGCCAGTTTCTTGTTAAACCGCGCAGAAAAAAACAATAGAAAGGGACTGGAACAGACGTCCAATAGCTCCTTCAATTTCCGCCATCTTGGCAAGGAGTGTGCCGAAATTTCGTATTATTACGGTTTTATGAACTGAAAACTTAATTAGCGATACAGTTCGTTAGAAAGGAAATGTTATTAAAACTGTTTACGACCTTCAGAGCTATTGGACGTCAATGGCCGCCATCTTGGCTTCATTTTTTTCATAGGCCGAATGACTGAAGTCCTTGCTCCAGATATATATAGAGCTCACTGGTAAATACAGTCAAATATACTTTTATGGCGTAATGTATGGTAAAATTCTCCATTGTTTTACGCATGCACTTTTGAGGAACAGTTGAAAAAAGCAAAACATTTTAGTGTTTAAAAACACTTTTTCTAGGTTGGATACAACGGATACCGTATTTACTCGATTGAGCGCCGCCCCCGATTGAGCGCCGCCCCCGAATGAGCGCCGCATCTGAAGCTCTGAAAATTTAAAGAGCGCCGCGGCGCTGAAACGAGTAAATACGGTACGTATCACCACGCACATACATACAGATGAGGATATGTTGAGCGTATAAACATTTATATCTTGTAACATAATTAAAGTTACATAACCTAAATTATTCTTTGTATATTGTATTTAATTGTAACGTCTAAATTGTAAAAGAGGGCCACTAGATATATCAGTAATACTATCATGTACATGCATGCTACCCTCTTTAAATAAAGTCGCTTACTTACGTACTTACTTACTTGCATCTATACAATGTGTTGAACTTAATTTTCTATCATTGTTAGGAATAGCGGACTTAAGTTAAGATGTGGTTACACGCACATGCACTTTAATGCATAATATTTTAACAATACGCGGCAAACATCGTCTGACATCACCACCAGCTGAAAAAGTAGTTGTCATTAAAATTCAGTATAACCTAAAATCGGCCCGACAAATTGCAAACGTGCCTTTACATAGCTTCATTACCTACATATTGTATTCTCCATTATTAAAATCCATTTCATGATATTATGCATGACTTCTCTTGTCTTTGGTTCTAGAAAAAAACCAAGCCCAATATGAAAAGAAGAGACAGAAAAAGACAACTGCATGCAACTATTTACAGTTTATTTTCAAAAAAATATATATTACAAACAATACAATTTACTTCGTGTTTGAAGACAAACAAATCAAGACACACAAGAATACTAAACACGTATTTACATGCAGGAATAGATTATGTATTAAATATAATAAGCGATGGCCCTTCTGCAAGAGCTTATAACAATTCTGGACATGTTGGAAAAGAACATTGAAAATCAGAATGCCCATAAAAAGTACATCACGTCGAAGGAAGTAGATTTGTATCTTTATGTAATATTGGAATAACTGGTTGAGACTTCCCTGAGTCTCTGTTCCCTCCATAGAAAATTTGCATGCCAAATTTGCATTTCAAAAAGAGAAATCAAAGAAAAATACATTTAAATTTCCGCAAAAAATTCAGCCAGCACAAGCGGACGACAGAACAAAATTCGCGCAAGCTGAAAATCCCCCCCCCCCCCTTAAGTTGACTTCCCTACTCAATGTTGAGCCTATGTCATGGTAAATTACCAAAAGTTGTTTTGGTGTTCTTCACAACATTGAATTGGGAGAGAGAGGGTCAGCAAGTTTGCTTTGTCAACGTACATTAACTTTGCAATAAATGTAACCCAGTAAATAAACGTTGGTAAATGTTTTTCTATCTTTCAGACGAAGCGGCAGACTTTTACTTCACAGAGCGTTTTATAATTTGTTGACTTTACCGTTTGTTGTCGTCGACCGCTGTTTCTTGCTTCTTTTTCTGAATCTGCAATCGCTTGAGCCAGCGCACGATCTTCTTCCTCTTGACTACTTGATGGTTTAGTTGTAGAAGTGGATTTATCTTCGGCTGAGGATGTTTCAGATAAGGATGCTTGAATTGCTAATGCTAAAGCTTCATCCTCGCTCTGAAATTGAAAATCTCACTTAATTACAATTACGCATACGGCTAAGTATCAAGGTTTTGGGCATCTCGTTCCATAGAACTGAACGTAGATGGAGTTTTCCAACGAAAATGTATACACACTTCCAGACATACCCGGGAGGAGCTGCGAAAATGTAAGTTTTAGGCCCATCGGCAGGAATCCAACTATAGACTATAAAATATTTTGCAACCCTCAGACAGTTCCCACACCCCAGCTAGAGTAATTTGCAGCCCCGCCCCAAGAAATTTAAATGATCAATAAATTGAACGGCGTTAGTATGATTGGACTAAGGATTTTGAACTAACTGATCATAAGACCTTAAAACAAGGATTTGAACCAAAAATCTCGATATTTTCCATTTTTCCTGGGGGTTCGCCTATACCCGTCTGAAAGTCCGTCGAACCTGTGGTCCGGTGATTCCGGTGCATGCACTATGCAGCGCTCTGACGACTGAGTAATGTCTTGTTCTAAAGTTGAAATTGTTCTGAAATGTTAACATCATGAAATTTAGTGGTTTATTTCAACATAAGTTTCACTTGAGTCAGTGCAAGACATGGTGCCCAACTCCACCTACTAGCTTTGTGTTTAGGGCAAATACACGCAATGAAATAACTTGGCGTTACTTGCTCGTTGCTCTCGATGTGTCACTGCAGTTTAAGTTAACTAATGGAAAATCGTGAGCATCTATTGTTCTTTCCTGTAAGTGTAGACAAACTAACACATTTTTGAATTGACTACATGAAAACATTTAGCATCACTTGCTTGTTGCTGTATGTTTCATGATGAAACTCATTAATAATTCAGTATGAAGGACTGGAGTTTGTATATATCATACACAAAATCATAGACTTACACAAATTTTAAGTTCAGTTTTCTCACTCGCGTCCGTGATGTGTCGGATATACAAACTCTCCCCTTCGGCCGCTCGTAAATAATATTACATATAGAGTAAGGTTTGATTGTGTAACACCAACATGATTGTGTGACACCAAGGAATTACTGTAATTCACATATCGAATATTGATAGCGTCAGCCACAACATATAGATATAAGAAACCATGGATATTTATACTCCGCCACATAAAAGATTACAAAACATTCGACGTTTCGACCCACGGCATTTTCCGGACTCTGACGAAGGGACGTCATTCGAATCAAAGAAGTAAAAGAAAGAGATATGTTTCCGCAGCTATAGTTACTGTAAAAATGACATAATATAAGTTGCATGCCTGTATATTCTATTTTGGCTATCTTCAAATGGAGCTAGGCTGTGTGTACACTAAGCCGACAGAAGCTAAAGTAGTCTGGGGGAAGAGAATGGATCCAGAGTTAAACGAAACTCCAAATGCAAGTGCAAATGGGAGGCAAGTCCTCCTGACAAGTTTATAGATAGATAGGTGGCTCTACGTCTGCTTCCACATGATTTCTGGAGCTGGTCTGTAACTCCAACATTTTTATTTGAACTTATGTTTTGAATTTGGAATTAGCCCATTATATAGAGTATGGAGGTAACATCGTTGCATGCATGGTTCACCAACTTCCGCAGTCGTGATATGTTGAAAGACGTAATGTTTCACTTACTAATGGTTGTTGTTGCCCAGGCTGAGGTGCTCTGTTAGGTTGTTGTTGTCCAGACTGGCGTGTTCTGTTGGGTTGTTGTTGAACTGTTGTACTTGGATTTGATTGATTAGCACGCTCTCGTCTTGCTCTGAATAAAATACAATTTAGATATGCAATGACAAATTAAATATCGCACTGTACATATATCCTACTACAGGAATATGTCCCCCAAAACCACAAGCTTAGTTTAAATGCATTTTCTACTAGTGAACACAACGGTTGATTATAAATATTAGCATTTTACCGAACCAATATGAATAGTCAATTGAATAAATAAGTTTTTCGGATAGAAATAAATTTCTTCTTTATTGGGCAAAATTTTAATTCAGAACTTTTCATCCGAAGCTTAATAATTCTGAAAGTTTAAAAATACAAGTTAAACTTTGCAAAACTAAATTATTTACGAACTTATAGGGGGTCTTTTCCTGGAAACCTGTAATGGTATTACACATTGCTGATGAACCACTACAACTGCTGCCTAAACTTTGTTTGATTCACTTTCTGATGTGGCTTTTGGCGTACACATTTTCTAGCAAGAAAGATGTGTAAAGAGAACAATTTTTGAGAGTCGTCCTCTGCATGGTTGTAAATTTATGTATCACAAGGTTTTGACTGCCAATCGGCAGTCCTGGACATTAGTTCTTGTGACAGTTTAGTTCTATATATTCACTGTTAGCTATACGTCCAAGGCTGCAGATTGGCAGTCAAAGTCATGACACATATACATCCTGATATACATCTATACGATCTTTCTCTGCCATGCAGAGAAAGTCTCACAATTACTAAAATTGTGCTCTTTACACATTTCTGGCAAACAGAGCTACTTGTATTTTTATCAATGCGGGTTTTGGAATACGTATACTGTACAGAATCACGATTTCTGGTGTACATATATATATCTGTTCACCAAAATTTTGTTCAAACTTTCTAAACTTAAGCCATGGTCAAACGAGGATGAGAGTTGAGAAGCGAGAGTTTGCATGAGAGTTTTCTCAACTCTCATGCTCCGGTCAAACGAGAAAAAGAGTTGCATGCATGAGAGTTGACTGGATATTACCGGGCACGTAGCGAAAACTCATCAAACCAGTTCAAAGTTAATGAGAGTTGATGAGAGTGCATTCGAGTCGATGAGAGCTTAGACTTGCTCCAAGTCTCTCTTTCATTGTCATATCGATCCACTATAGTGTACATTACATGACGTAGCACGGAGAGGCGGAGCGAGAAAGAGAGACTTGTCAACTTCGGAAAATCTCGGTTCAAAACTGAACCGAAAATGCAAGACTTGCTTTAATTGTTTTCCTTCAATTTCTTTCTGTATTATTTACTATAATGGAACTCATGTAATTTACACTGTGCTAGATCAATATATATATAAACACTGACAGAAAACAATTAAAGCAAGTCCTGCATTTTCGGTTCAGTTTTGAACCGAGATTTTCCGAAGTTGACAAGTCTCTCTTTCTTGCTCCGCCCCTCCGTACTACGTCATGTAATGTACACAATAGTGGATCGACACTATATGACAATCAAAGAGAGACTTGGAGCAAGTCTAATGAAAGCTGGGGGTCAAACGCGAGCGAGAGTTGCAACTCTCATCCTCGTTTGACAGCTTTAGAGTGTAAACGGATTTATGAACGTTATAGGTCTACGTTGGACAAATTTTATAATTACAGTAGGACAAGTTTAATAATTAGGACTATAATTGGAACATATAATTCGGACAAATTTTATATCAATGAAGACAAGTTTTATAATTAGGGTAAACGAGTTAAAATGTGCATCCTTAATCTTGTGGATCTGATCTTGAATTTCAATTTTCAATTATCTAACAACACCGCACAGTTGTTGATAGCAAAGCCTTCGCAAGGAAGAAGGAAATAATTCTGAAAATCTACGTAATTATGAGATAACATACCTATCGAGATCTCGACCGAAAACGCTTAAAGACGTTTGCTGTGGTTTGTTCCTATCAACTTGTTCAGCTCCTGTCCTGTTTTTCACATTTTTAGATTTCCTAAAAATATGCAGACAAAAATATAGAAATTTGGGCTTACAAAATAATAGAAATGCACAATCCTTACAGGAGTTCATAGGCAAAAAGCCCCCCAGAAACGTTTATCATCAATTACATGAGTGTCCACCCAAGTAGACCTAATCAGTTATCATTAGTTCATGCCCGATTCTATATACGCATTCTGCTCACATACAAATATAAAATGCTTCGTTTCCATGGTTTCATTCCATACTTAACTACGGTATGTAGGTCTTTGCGAAATCAAAAAATATAAGTGGAGTAGTAACGTGCACAAACACCAAAGCCTGAAATCACGAACGGACATCGGACATTTTCCGACCAAATCACACTTTTCCTGACCAAATGCTAATCAGTGGTTTGGCATAAAATATCGTTTATATATTGACTTAATTTACCCATGCAAGGTCACAGGGCACTTTTTAAGAATTCGTCAGTGGGGGCATCTACAAAAAGGGACCATACTATACCAAGTGTGGAGAAATGATAGATGGTTGTTGGTTTTTGGTAACAAAAAGTTTGGTGTGGTATTGCATTTAATAGTAGGGGGGTCTGGGGGTATTCTCCCCCAGAAAATGTTGTATTTTTCTACCCCTATGACTGCAATTCCTGCATTTTCTGAAACCGATTTTTGGATATACAGCGTTACATTATGCTGTAGATAGACTGAACCTTCAGTGAAGTACTTGCATGGTATGTTTATGTAGATACCACAACTTGGTCACTTTGACTGGGGCAAAATGGGACTTTGACTGGGGGGGGGACAAAATGGTTGAGTGGGGGGGGGACCATGGGGGCTGGGAGGCTTTGCCCCCCCCCCAGTTATATAGTTAAAAAATGCCCTGCCCAAGGAGGTCAAGGAGTCAAAATGAAATCGAAAACTGTCCGACCAAATTTGAAAGTTTCCGATCAAATTTCATTTTGGGATAATTTTTGTACGTCATTTCAGGCTTTGCAACATGGAACTACATGATTAGGTCTCTATTCTTGATCAATAATGACTTTCGCCCTACAGGGATCTTCAACTAACCATCAAAAGTTCATACTTACAGATAATTCGCTGTCCTTGCTGTTGCGCAGTCATGATCTTGAGGATGTCGATGACGTAGGCAATAGTTTCTTCTACACGAATCACATAGCACAGGTACTAACTAGATAATGTATGGAACTGCAAGTTATTATCATATATGGAGTACAGGAATGCTGTTAGTGTTGCATGCAAGTCGCTCTGTGTATGGCGTCCAACTATATTACACCTAACATGGGGTATACGGGAAAGGGAAGGGCTGAAATGGCACGGGGGCGAGAAGTTGTTTTCCATCGTGTATTCCTCTCGAAACAGCGAATCACCGTCTCCTTTACGGAGGCCAGACTATTATGTATTCCCGAAATCAGTGGAAATATCTACCGTAAGTCTATACTACTAAGCGCCCTCAATAGTAAGTTTAGGGTATACACCCTTACAGTAGAACCCCGCTAACTCGAACTAAATTCAATTTCCCCTGGATTTGACCCAATTTTTACAGTAATTTACTCCGGTTAACTAGAACAAATTTCATTTTCCCTTGGTCAAATTTACCCTGTTAACTCAAACTGTATTTTTGAGACGTGGTTAGGCAAGCCTCAAAATGTCAGAACATAGCACATTGACAAGTCAGAAGCTTGGATTTTATTCAGACAACAACCATTTATTTGTATATAGTCTATTCAAACGTAATAAAAGGTTCAACGAGTTGCGTCGATCATTACCGATCTAATATATTATAGGCACTGTTGGACTGTTTAACAATAGTACAAACTTTGTAAGTTCTTTAGAATAATAAAACGACTATACTCTATCCATTATTAACATAATAAAAGCAATCCAACACGAACCCCGTTAACTCCAACCCCGCTGACTCGAAGAATTTTTCGCTTGCCTTCGGAGTTCGAGTTAGCAATGTTCTACTGTATTTGTCAACCATGCACTGTAAAATATTCAAGTGTACAGTCTAGCTAATTCTCTCGCTTCTATAAATATGTGCGATTCAAAACATACTAACTTCTTTCTTCTTGCAGCCCTTTGCAGAACATCTGTTGGAATTTAGCTACACAAAAGAATTAAAGAACAATCCTCATTTTCCTCTACAAGGAAGAGCCTGGGTACGAGGTTGTCCTCATTTATTGAATAAATTATATAATAAAATGTCGGGAGCAGCGTGGAATATATAAATATGCACGAAACAGTGTCGTTGATTATCAAAATTGGTGCAGTCCGACGAAGGACGAGTGGAGAATGAAATCTTGAAAAACTGCGCAAACATGGAAACGAGGTTGTCGACTAGTTGATGTGTCGAAATTTTTTCATAATAAAACAGCCTGCCCTTGCCATTTTACATAAATTCATGAACTTTGAAACAAAATGACATCTTGAACAAACCATAAAAGTTATTATATAATACCTTATTAAATTCTAATCATTTAATTGGCTGTTTATAGTCACGTGATATTGAATAGAAAATTCCATTTCCCAAGAGTGCAATGGAACGTTCCATTGCACTCTCCGCGAGTGCAATGGAATAAAACGTATAGTACAATTGCACTCTTTGTGTTTTCGATAAATCGCATCCCTCAAAATGCTTCTCATACGAATCTATTAGTCTGTTCTGGACTTTTGGTATTATATAAAACAAATAATGAATGTTTCTTCGTGCAATGGTAAGAATATTTTCATTCGGTGAAAGATGGAATGTTCCATTCAACTCGGCTGTCGCCTCGTTGAATGGAACATTCCATCTTTCACCTCATGAAAATATTCTTACCATTGCACTCATAAACATTCATTATTTGTATACTATACTTTTCGAGGCTTTTTTGCATTTCTGGATTAAAAATACCTTTTTGAAATACGTTCGCCTTGAAATCGCAGCTTTTTTGGAAAAGGGTACAAGAAAAAAACATTAATTGGCGATGTTGTTGTCTTTGAATCGCATTTTAAAGCTAAAAATTTCGAATTACGACATTGGCTTTATATACTTGTTTTGAATCTGTGAGTGATTCTCTGGTGAAGTATCGTCTAATCAATACATGTACTTACGATTTCTGGCACCACTTTATGGAAATGGAAGTTGGTAAGTAACGTTTCGACTATCGGCGTAGGCAGTTTATACTGTAAAAAAACAGAGTCTGCACTTTCAGTTTGGGCAGTTTTCACTGTAAATCTTTAGTGAAATGTTTGAGACAGTCTGAGTCTGCACTTTCAGCTTGGGTAGTTTTCACTATAAATCTTTAGTGAAACGTTTGAGACAGAGTTTGCACTTTCAGATTGGGCAGTTATCACTATAAATCTTTAGTAAAATTATGTTTGAGACAGAGTCTGCACTTTCAGCTTGGGCAGTTTCATAGTAAATTTTAGTAATATTTAGCTTTCTCTGATACATTCTGTGTAATCACTCACACTGGTGCTTACAGTAAAAGGTACAAGTTTATTTAATTTCTTTCTAATTTTTTGTCCAGGTGAATTCTCAGTGGTCTTTTTTCCAAGATGGTAAAATTTAACCTCACAGTAACTCTTGATGATGCTCTTGGTCAACTGAAATATAACATGATTTTCACCAACTGGTGAGTCAAAAATATGGTGATCTAGCTCAGTAAAAAGATTGTGTATGGAAGATGAAGCCAGAACATATGGACAATGAACAATGAAGCCAGAACAGAAGTGGTCAGAGCATATAAGTGTCTGCTTTCTTAGAACAGAACAGTATGGACAATGCAACCAGGACAAAAGTGGTCAGAACATATAAACATCTGCTTTTTGGGTGACCACTTTTCTTGATGAACATTTTGTATCAACTGTTTTCATAGTACTTCATCCTTCTAAAGGGATGTTTATCATGTTAATGCAAGTCTAATTTCAATCAATATAATAGTATACTGTAAAAAACTAAAAATAAATTGCTTACTGATGAAATGTCCTGGGAAGTTTTCTTTTGATTTTTGATTCTGTCATGCTCACTTGACCCTTCACTATTACTTCTTATACTTTTTGCATCAGGAATGACTTTACCCATTGCTATGAAATTTTCTGAGTTTAATTCAAATTTTTAATTTCAATTGGCACCAAAACTTCTTCAGGTCTCCAATTTTTTTTTAAAATTGGACATTTTTTAATGATATTTACAGTAACCACTAAACTCAAAAGGCAAAAATTGAGAGTTTATCATGTTTTCAATTCCTGAGAGTACTGGCAAATTTATTTTATTTTTTTAGAAAAGTTTAATTATTGTGCATCTGAAGAGTCAAAGAATTAGAAAACACTATTACACAAAGTCAAAAGTAATACTTTATTATAACAATAGAATTATTTATACAATAGTGAGTGCAACTATATTTAAGATTATAAAATCTACTGTGCATCAAGCAGTTTATCCCATTAACCTTACAATATACAATAATGCAAGAAGTAATATGTCTCATTACAAAATAGGGTTTCCCAAAGCAGTTCTAAAATTCAGCTGATTATCAATGATCTATGCTGTTAATAATTACAGTAATTTGGCAGTTTGATTGCTTGAATTAAAAACAAAAGGTCTAGGAC